CATCTTGAACTCAGTCTCCTCTCCCAAGCCCTGAATTCTTTTGTCCTAGGCCAGTCCACCTCCCTCAAGGCAATTCCCACTACATCTTGAGTACTGCATACGCCTTTTCTTAAAAATAGATAGGATTGATTTCAGAGAGGAAGGGAGGGAGAGAGAGAGAGAAACATCAATGATGAGAGAGAATCATGGATCAGCTGCCTCCTCACGCCCCACACTGGGGATCCAGCCCACAACCTGGGCCTGGGCCCCAACCGGGAATCGAACTGTGACTTCCTGGTTCATAGGTCGAAGTTCAACCACTGAGCCATGCCATCCGGGCCGCAGGGAATTTTTTTTTAAATTTGTAAATGGTTTCATCAAAGAAACTTGTGCATATACTGACCCGTGAGAATCAGAACCTCTGAATCGGAGTCGCCATCATCTTAGTGTGTGTCGTTGCTCAGTAACTCAGGTTTCCGTATCTGATCTGGAGTAGCATCGGGGTTCACCCGGCTTTCATCTCATTGGCTTTCCGCAGTGTGGGTACAGCCGGTGCCCCTGCAGCAGGCTTGGGATTGTTCCAGAACTATAATCGGTAATTCTTCATAGCCCGGGAAGGAAAAGTTTCCCTCACAAGAATCTGCTCGCTAAATATCTCCAATGAAATGAACACAGACTCTGGGAACCTTTCTATAATTTTATATGTTGAGTTTACAACTCATTAATTTTCTAATAATGAAAAATGCTTTTCTTCCCCCAAAGGCATTTTGGAATCACAACTTCTCTTAAGCTGAATCTTTGCAGCTTAGGTTGCCTTCACTGTTGAAAATATTCTCTCTTGATTGTGTATTAATAATTTTTCAAATAATTGACCAGTTAGCATATGTGGAATGCCTAGACCATCCTTATAAAAATTATACATTACCTTCCTTTTGTCCATTTTGAAACGGTTACTTTCCTAAACCTGCCGTTGAGTATCACGTCCATTGCGTTCACGTTTTCCTTTTAAGGCATGTGAAGGTGTATTGCAAATAATATTTCAGTCACTTGAGTATCAGAATCCTGTGGTCAAAACCACTGAATGAGACAACTTTAAGGTGAGTTTTATGGTGTGTGACTTACATCTCAGTTAAAAGGGAGATCTAGGTATTGGCTGTGGCTAAAACCCAAGAAAAATACACCGTGAAAACCCATTTTTGAGAACTTAAAAGGCTGTTTGACCAATGTTCTTTCAGGCCTCACTGCCCAGGGCCGGCCAACGTTCCTTTCCTCACTGCGCTGAGCTCGCACCTCACCTGAACTTCAGAAAACCCAGCGCTGCCTTCGTGCAGTTTCCTTCGTGAGCAAACATGGACTTAGGTCCTCAAACTTCTTTGGCTTCCAAATTCTTCTGCATGCAGGGACATGGGAGTAAGTCCATACCACATTACGATAAACAGCAGTAAAAGGCTAATCCAGTGGTCGGCAAACTGCGGCTCTAGAGCCACATGCGGCTCTTTGGCCCCTTGAGTGTGGCTCTTCCACAAAATACCGACTTCTGCGCATGGGCCACGAAGTTTCAATCGCACTGTACGTGCTCGCCCGCACGTGGTATTTTGTGGAAGAGCCACACTCAAGGGGCCAAAGAGCCGCATGTGGCTCTCGAGCCGCAGTTTGCCAACCACTGGGCTAATCCCTGGGTCAGTGACAGCGAAAATAACATAAACTACGAATAATGCAAATCCTAGCCAGTCCATCTCTGTAAGTCTTCACGTCTTAGCATTTTGCAACATCAATCTTCGTCCTTCCAGAAGGTCATGAGGAACCACAGGTAGTAAAGGGCTCCTGCGTTTTCCTATTGATTCCTCCTGTTCTCAGGTTTACGGCCTTCCGGGGAATGATCGAATTGGAGCTCTCCTTTGGCACAAGGTAAATTACAGCTGCCTGCAGTTCTATTTACTGCTCCGTCTTCACCGTTGTAGAGGTGACTTTCAGACAATTTCACATCGTCAGCTTCTATCAGTTGTCCGTTATTATCCAGAAAATCATTGGGGATGAGGTGATTTGTGAGCTGAATAGAAACGCACCTATTAGTGTCAGGATGAAAGCTGTTTAAATGCGCGTGGGCAGTTCATAAAACAAAGCGAAAACCGAAAGTGCAGTCTTGGAGGGAAAAACCTAGGAAGCTGTTCTTTTGATAGATAGTTCATCTTACCTGTTATACAGTGGGGCCTTGACTTACGAGTGTCCCGACTAACGAGTTTTTTGAGATACCCGCTGTCTCTCGGCCGAGTTTTTATATTGAGTTGATAGAGTAATTTGAGTTAACGAGCTCGGTCTTGGAACGAATTAAACTCGTAAGTCAAGGCCCCACTGTATTCTGTAGCACATCAAGCTTAACCAGTCATTGCATTGAAGCCCTTTAGGAATGTGGTCCATAAGAAACCATGATGTGGTAAACAGATTGAAAAATATTCCTCGCTGGGCCTGCGTGGCTTAGTGGTTGAGCGCTGACCTATGAACCAGAGGGTCACCGTCTTTCTCTCCCTTTCCCTTTATGAAATCACTAAGATTTGTTTCCAGTCACTGTTTTAAAAAGAAAACATTTTGGATTTCGCTAAAATTTTCTTTACCATTACCTGGCTCTCTACCCGTTTTTTTGTTGGTTTTTTTTTAAAGACACCAATAATACATTTTATTAGAGAGAATGGGTGAGAGAAACATTGATTTGTTGTTACACTTAGTTATGCATTCACTGATTGATTGATTGTGCCCTGACTGGGGATTGAACCCACAACCTTGGTGTCTTAGGACGATGCTCTAACCAACTGAGCTACCCGGCCAAGGCCAACCTATCCTTTTTCCAGAGGCAATACCTCCCTGAGTTGAGGTGTGGACTCAGATAGTACACATGGAACTCCTTGTTCTTGTACTCTTCATCATGTTTTTGACATACACATAGATCATATTTATACACACAGGTACATGTTTATATACCTGATGTGTATGATACATGTATATTTACATAACTATATCAATTCATGTTTTTACATATGTACACATTTACTTTAATCCTAACTGCTGTATAAGGGCCTGTCACGTGGCTATATTAATTCCTTTCCCGTTGTCGGACATGCAGATTGCTTCTAAAATCCCCTCTTGAGAACAGAGCTGCGAAACAGCCCTTCTACATACAGTGGGGCCTTGACTTACGAGTTTAATTCATTCCGAGAGACCGAGCTCCTTAAGGAGCTC